TTTCTTCGGAGCCAGCATGATGCTGTCTTACTGGTAGCTCTGGGGCTCCTCAGAGAGCCCCACAGCTCTTCTGCTCACACCATGCAGCTCCCTGCAAACATCCAGCGTCTACTCACGCAGCAGCGGCGAAAGCAGTGGCGCAAACCCGGAGAACAACAAACTGGGAAAGAGAACAAAGATGCTGACCTTGTGGAAGGCGCCGGGCAGGGCAGGCTGCAGGGACCAGCCCGAGGGCTCACGGGGACAGAAACGCATCCAGCAACGGGGGGGCTCCCCCACAGCTCCCCCGGGCTCAGGCCTCGTGTCTGGGCAGGGGTCTGCAGCCGCTCGCGGCTCCCCAGGGCAGGGCTCGAGCGCAGGCTGAGGAAGCGTGGGCAGGTCCAGGCGCCCGCAGTAGCAGGGCTGGATTCCCTCTGCCAGCTCTCGGCAGCCAGGGAGCGTCTCAGAGATGCTGTCAAGGAGAAAACGCCCTTGAAACGTCAGGCAGCGAAGCTCCTGGCCTCCGGCCAAAGGAACACGGCCCCGGCAGCGCTCCGAGGGCAGCGCATCAATGGCCAAAGCAGCCCAAAACGCGCTGGGGGTGGGGGGGGTCGCTCGGCCCCGGCCTGGCCTCAGGAGGGGGCTGCAGCCCGGACACCCCTGCGGCTGCTGCCGAGCCCGGAGCCCCCCAGGCGCTGCCGAGCTCCATCCCCGTGCGTTTTGCCCCAACCGACGGCCCCGCACCGCGGGCGGCCCCGGCTCGCCCCGCACGGCCCCGGGCTCGCCGCAACCGGAGGGTGCCGGGGGGGAGTCCCGAGAGCCCGACCCAGAGCTCGGAGCCCCCCCCAGCCCCTCCGCCGACCCCCGGCCCCGCTCCCCCCCGCTCACCCCTCGGCGCTGCGGCGGCTCCGGGCTCTGACTGCGGCGGCGGCGGCGGGGAGGAGCCGCGGCCCCGGCCCCGCCCCGGTGAGCGCAGCCCCGGGAGGGGGGAGCCCGGCCTGCCCCCAGCGCCAAGGAACACAAGAGGCAGCAGAACGGCAATAAATTACGTTTATTGTAGCAGGCCTGGCGGCCCGAGCACCGGGAGGGGAGCTGCTACGAGCCACGCCGACCCCAGCCCGAAGGCAGCAGGGCGGTGGCGGTGGCACCGCCGCGCACCCAGCACCGGGGCTGCCAGCCCACCCCTGGCAGCAGAGCCCGAACAGTTCACCAACAGGCCCGCCAGCACACCCTCATTTCTGTCGTTTGTAAATCTTCTGAGCTAGGCCAAGGAAAATCTCCTTCGGGAGCCGGTTGGCGTGCTTCTTGATCAGTTCCTGCAGGCGCTGATAGCTCTTCTCCTCGTACTCCTGGAAAGCAGCCTTCATGCCTAGGGTCTCGTAGAGCTCCTTCACCTTAGCCACCTTCTCTGGCTCCTTACGGCCATAGTTCTCCTGAGAAGGCACCAGAATGAGTAAGTTTGGGGTTTAGCTTATGGCTATGACAATAGTTGCTCTTTCAAAACGTGGCAAGAGTCACCTCTTCTGCTCCCTTGTGTCTTACAGTGCTCAGAATAACTGAGCCTCCTCCCACCCCGGTACCATCACTGCTGCCATGCACAGCGCAGCTTTCCAGGTGCACCTTACAGCTCGACACCTCCTCTACACTGTGCCCTTAGGCAGGGAGTCTGCGTTACCTCTCCCACCATGTCAGAGCGGTTCTGTAAGCCTGCGGGCATTACCTCCAGGATCTGCCTCTGATCTGGCGTGACCCGACGCAGGCACTCCACCACCAGCCAGCTGCACTTATTGTCCTGGATATCGGTGCCAACCTTCCCTGTTAGTGCCGGGTCACCAAAGCAGTCCAGGTAATCATCCTGTACAAAGACAGAAACATGAGCACCACAACCACCGCCTTACAAGTCCTGGGGGACTGGGAGGCACCTTGTACCTGGATCTGAAAGAATTCACCCATCTCCAGCAAGATTGCTTTGGCATTGTCGTGTTCCTCCTTACTGTCAATACCAGTCTAATAGAGAGAAGAAAAAAAAAAGCCTTCCAGTATTTGTTTTTTACACCTTCATCTCCCAGACCACCTGTTCTCTTAGAAAGCCTTATGCTGTTTAGGCACCGCCTTTCTCCCCTTAACTCCTTTCCACAGAACTCACCATGTACATGGCAGCAGCCACTGGCAGGTAGAAGGAGTAAAATGCGGTCTTGTACTTAACGATTGCCTTATACCTGTGGGAGAGGAACCACATTCAGTGAGAAATCCCAGGCCTTCCCTTCCCATTGGTGCCCAGCAAATCAAAGACAGCAGGAGAAGTGCAGCATCACCCTCTAAACCACCTCCAAGTTCTGACAGCCGACAAAGATTTGGTCTGGACTTTGGTCTGACAGATGACAGCAGAATTTTAGCAAGCTGGTTGTCTGCTTCACAGTCCAGAAGGGACACCAGCAGAGCCACACAGCCAGCATTGGGCTGGCATCTGTCCCCTCCAATTCCTTCACCTTTGCTCACTGAAGCGATTCAAATCCACCTGGGTGACAGGAGCAGTGATGAGGTCCAGCATCTGCCCCAGCTCAGTTTGGTAGGCAGTCTGAAGAGGAAACATTTAAGGATTTATTCACACGGTCCCCAGGAAAGTCCGAACAGCACAGTAAAAACCCCGAAGTTCAGCCCCGTTTTAGCTCCTTGCCAAGGCTGAAGTAGGGTGCATTTTTGGTGGGATGCCCAAGGACTCAGAGAGCAGACTAAGATCCACGCACCATCAAACAGGACTGGAACTAGTCCCGAGATGGGTCCATGGAAGGAGACGTGGGGGGCAGCCTCACCTGCAGGAAGAGCTCCAGCAAGTGCAGGTAGTACGGGCGCTCCCCACAGTACTTCTTCAGCATCCTGTAGACGGATGACTCGAGGAGGAAGGCATCATTGATCGCATCCAACCCAATTCCCTCCTGCACCAGGAGGACAAGAAGGGGCTGGGTTGCAGCACACCCAACATCACGGCACCCCCGCGGCCCCCCAGCAGGCAGCGATGTCCCAGCTCCGCGGCCGCTCTCACCTTCTTGTACCAGCAAAGCTGCCCCCGGCGCGTCAGGGACTGGTCCATGATGTCGTCGGCCACCAGGAAAAAGGCCTGGAACTGCAAAAGGCTGGGTTAGGGGGCAGCTGCGGGACGGGGGCTCTCAGAGGCAGGGGATGTGGTGCGGCCCCGTGCCCGGCTCTCACCAGCTCGATGCACCAGCCGACGGCCAGGGCGCAGCGGAGGCTCTCGGGGTCCTGCTGCTGGGGGCCCGCCAGCTCCCGGAAGGCTGCGAGCACCGTCAGCCCCCGGTTGTACTTCCCGCCCGGCGCGTTGTACTCCAGCACCTGCGGGGAGAGGTGAGTGGGCAGCCCCCGGCCTCCCCACCACCGGGACCCCCTCCCACCGGGATCCCCCCGGGACCAAACCGGGACCCCCCCCGGGCACCCGAACCGGGACCTCACCGGGACCCACGCCGGCCTCACTGGAACCCCCCGGGACCCCCACCGGGACCTCCCCAGGACCCAACCGGGACCCCCCCGGGACCCCCTCCGGGCCCCCCGGCCGGGCCTTACCGGGACCCACCCCGGGACCTCACCGGGCCCCCCCCCGGGCCCCCCCCGTCCTCACCTCCTTCAGCCGGGCCACGGCGTCGCCCACCTCGGGGTGCCCGAGCCCATCCCCGGTGAGGTCCCGGACCACCTGTGGGAAGAAGCCCACGAACTCCTCCCGCTCGGCGCCCGCCGCCCGCCGCGCTCCGTCCCCGCTCATCGCGCCCTGCCCGCACCGGACCCCCCGGCCCCGCTCCTCCGCGCTCGCCCCCGCGACCTCCGGGGACGGCCCCGCCCCGGCGCCGGGCGCGGGGTTCGCCGGGGCGCGTAGTCCTGAGCCGGGGGGAGCGCCGCGAGCCGCGCGGCGGGAGGACTACAACTCCCGGCATGCCCCGCGAGGAAGGGGAGGAGCCAGCGGGCGGCTGCACCTGGCGCCTGCATTCATTGGCCCGCTCCATCGCATGAAGATGGAACCAAGGAGGCTCGGCCAATAGGAGAGCGGGGGGGGCGGCACCGAGACGCCTGATTGGTGGAGGGGGGGAATGGAGCGAGGGCGCGGCGGCAGCGCGGGGGCGGGGCCGGGACCGGGACCGGGATCGGGATCGGGATCGGGATCGGGATCGGGATCGGGGTCGGGACCGGGGTCGGGACCGTCCCGCGTTGCGCCCCCGGCCCTGCCCGGGCGCCGTCAGCACAGCCTGGCCCCTTCGGGGGCCTGGGGCCGGGGCAACCGGCGGCTTCCACGCGCCCCCGCTCCGCCTCGCCCCGGTGTCACCGGGAATAACGGCGCGAGGGAGGAGCCGCCGATGGGCCCGGGGCTCCTCGGGTGTCACCGAGCCTCAGCCGCGCTGCCCCGGGGATGTCCCGGTGCTGGGCGCGGGGGGCGTCCATGGTGCCCGTGTCCGGTGCCCGTACCCGGTGCCCGGTGCCCGGTGCCCGGTGCCGTGCTGGCGGTGCCGGCGCAGGGGCAGAGCCACCGGGCACAGGCCCGAGCCGAGCCCCGTGCAGGGTGTGCCGGCACCGTGGAACGGGCACTGAGCACCGCCAGCCCCCCGGCCCGCCCCGTGCTCCGTGACCTTCGTTTAATCTGTTTAATGCCCGCAGTCTGCTCCGCAATCAGCCCCCCCCCCGGGTTAATAAACGGAAGGGAAATGGAAGGGGAAAATCAGCAAAGATTAAACGTTAATCCCCGGGGCCCAAATGCCGGTGGGGTGAGGGGAAGGGGGGGATCTGCGGCTGTGCTGCTCCTCCTGTGCTGCCCGAGGTTGCGGGGCCGGGAGGAGGCACCCCAAGATGCTCCTCGGGGTTCCCCATCTGCTCCTGGCTGTCGGGGGAAGGCAATTAAATCCTGCTGTTAACGAGGACCGGGGCTGCCCCTCTGTGGCACCCCACCGCTGCCCCGTCCCATCCTCGTGGGCAAGGCACCGCGGCCGGCGCGGGCTGCGCTGAAGGAGGCTCCCTCAGACCAGCTCAGAATCTCTCTTTATTATTTAAACCCATTATGTACAACGACCAAAAAATAAATAATAATAAATAAATTAAAAAAAAAAAAAACGCTTTTAAATTCTCTGCAATATGAAAACTACAAGCTCTGTACATCGACTGCCGTGAGTGCAAGAGTGAAGGAGCATGGTCTTTGGTGACGAGACTCGCGCCCACTCACGCCACAGAGACGCGCACGTGGCCGGCACCCCCGGCCCTGGCCCTAAACCCCCAGCCGCCCCCCTCCTGCCTCCCCTCGGGGACGGGACACCGGGGTCCTGACCTCCGGGGACAGGAGCTGCCGCAGCTCGCAGCAGGCGCTGGTCGCCACGGTGGAGCCGGCCGCAGCGGTGACTGGAGCGCGGGGTGGCTCCAGCTCCTGGCGCGGGTCTGCGGCCGCGGGGAGGGGTGACCCGGCAGCACGGCTGGCAGAAATGGTGCCGCGCTCGGTGCCACCCAGCCTGGCCCACGCGCTCTGTGAGGAACACCTATGATGACCACTAAGACATCTACATCACGGGGTGTAAACACGGCCTGGGGGATGTCTGACTGCGCGGCCCGGCCGCAGACCCCTTCCTGAGGGGCTGCCGGGGAGACACCGACCATGGGGATGGAGCGGGACGCGGGAGCTGGGTGGGGAAGGGGAGTTCAAGTCCATGAAAAAAAAGGCAGTGCTGGACATCCCCTCCGACGGACACGCTAATGGATTCCCACCGGGCTGCTGCGCCCTGAGGGCTCGGCTCCTGGAGCAGCCAAGTGGTTCAAACTGGTCCCAATATCCCAAAACACGAGGGGGGAGAACTGAAGGACTCACTTCAAGAAGTACTGCGTGAAACAAAACCCTCGCCCGCTGCGCCAGGCGGCTGGGGCCGGGTGTGCCAGGGCCGCCGGGTCCCACGGGCCCCGCTCAGCGGCAGCCAAGCCCCAGAGCGCGACTACAAGCCGTGGGTCCTGACTCTAGTAGTGGAAAGCAGCTCGCGCAGCGCAGCGGGGTCGGGAGGGAACACTACTCTAACCAGGACTGGTAACGCGGTTGAGCCCAAAGCAACACTGTAAGCAGAGCTCAGCTGCTCGGCAGAGCCACGACTCGAACACACACGGATGACTACTGGCTCCGGAGGGGCAGTTGGGGTTGGCTGCGGAGCCCCCAAGCCCCTGCCCTTCTGTGCGGGAAGGGCGAGGGGAGGCAGCCCCGCAGCCCCACACGCCGCCCAGGCGCTGCCCGGGGTTGGTGTCTCCTCAAGCCCGCCTTCTGCTCGCTGCAGCGCTGGGGATCAGCCTCTCCAGGTGGTCCATAAAGGGGACAGCAGCACGGGGCAGGAGGGGACCGAAGCCCGGCCCACGCATCCCCCCTGGAGCTGCAGGCAGCTGGATTGCCCCCGCACTGTTTCCACACGGGAGCATGGCCAAGGGCCTGGGCTCAGTGCCCAGGCATGGGGCAGAGCCCTGCCAGGCACATCCCAGCCCCGGTGAGCTGCCAGCGGAGCTTTGGCAGGGCCAAGCACTCCGCAAAGGCCTTGCAGCACCTCAGAGGTGAGGCCTGCAAAGCCAGGCAGAGGCACCCCGGGGGATGCTGTGGAGGCAGAGCTGTCTGCCCCTGCCTTTGGCACTTGGCACGCCAGGGCTGGCCTGGCTGGCACAGGGCTCCAGCAGCACCAGGGCCCAGCACTGAGCCCCGAGCGTGGCTGCTGGCACCTCGGGGAGAGGGGACCTGGCCCCTGGTACCTGCGCTCTGCCTGCCCAGTGAGACCCCACAGTGGGCTCCAGCCCCCTCTGCCCTCAGCACCAGTGGGGTGCTGGCTCTCTCTCCTCTTCCAAAAAGCCAAAGTGCTGGGCAGACCTCTCTGGGGATGGTGTGGGGATGCTGCGGGTACTGTTGTGGGAGGACGAGCCCAGCAGAGCCTGCCAGCATCGCCCTGGCCCCGAGGAGAGGCTGCAGGGAGCGAGGGCAGAGCAGAGAGGGGCCCAGCCCCGAAGGAGTAGCTGTGGGGAGCTGGGCTCCCCTGGGAGGCCTGGATTTGGGGCAAGGGCTCCAACTTTGCCTGCTGCCTCCAGAAGGAGGGTAGGTGGCAGGATAGAAACGGTGATGGAGCGGGTGGGGAGAGCAATGGCATGGTCCTCGGAGAGCCCCCTCCTCGTCCTGCCAGGCCAGCTCCTGGGGCTGCTCCAAGCCCACCCCTGCTGCGTCCCCCGCACCCAGCATGGCCGGTGCGTGTCCCCGTGCCCTGCCTCTCACCTCGCCTCCCCTCGGACAGAGCCAGGCCTCCACAAGGTGCTCTGCCTCTCCTGCTGCCTCCGCTCTCCTCCCGCAGGTGCCACCTCGGTGCCTGTCTCTCTCTTACCCGTGCACGGGTGCCGCCGGGGGCTCACATGTTGGATGGGAGCTTGGGCTTCCCCGTTTCCACCTCAGGGCTGAAGGCCACGGAGCCCTTGCGGGAGGGAGCTGCCGCCTGCCTGGGTGCAGAGACTGGGGACTTCGGGGTGGACGCTCCTGCCACGGAGCGGCTCGCTTGAGCCAGCGATCCTGAAGGCATCTGCTGCGGGTGTGCTGGCTGGCCTGCGATCCCCGGACATGGCTTGGCGAGGAGTCCGGCTACCGAGGGAGAGGATCTGCGGGCCAGGTTCCCCACGGATTTCCTCCCCTGCTGCAGGGAGCTCCCGTCTGCTTGCTGAGCAACCTTGTTGGGCAAGGAGGGCTGGGAGGCCGAGAGCAGACGGACATCCTGGGTGAGCCGCCCCACGGGCAGGCCCTGGATGCTCCTGTGCTTCACCAGCTGCTGCGGCTGCATCAGAAGCGAGATGTGGGAGCCGGTGGCCCGGGACAGGCTGTAGTGGAGAGTTCTCCCCGCCGGCAGCGCCTGCTCCGAGCTGGGGGACGGAGCCCCCGCCGCCTGCTGCAGCAGAGAAGTGGAAACCGAGGTGCCCCGGGACTTGGAGAGCTGGGGCTGGGATCCTGCCGGGGGCTGCTTGGCCGCTGGCGGCAGCTCTCCCTTCTGCGCTGCGCGCGGCAAGGGCTGCCCCCCGTGGCTTGGTCGCTGGCCCCCGCTTTCCAGGGGTGCCTGGGACTGGACCATCGGGGAGGAAGGCGAACCAGCGGCCGGTGTCTGCAGGTGGGACTGCGCCCCCGATGGGGAGCTGACCGAGGAGGGCCGGGAGCCCCCCAGGCTGGGCTGGGACCTGCGCACCTGCTTCGTCAGCAGGGTGGCCTCAGGTGACAGCGGGCTGGAGATGGAGGAGGGCGGCAGGAAGATGTGGGCCTGCAGGCTGTGTTGGTGAGTCAAGGCAATGGCCACGTTGGTGGTGGCAGCGGCTGTCTGCAGGGGTGCATGCACCAGCGGCTCCCAGATCACCGGCTTGCCGCTCAGCTCCCGGCCCATCGTCATCTGCTGCAGCTCCTGGATGTTGTGGGCCACATCCTGGTCGTGCTTCACGATCTGCTGGATCATCTCGTTGTTCATGGGCCCTGAGCTGTGCTCGGCTCGCTTGCGGAGCAAGATGGAGTTCTTCTTCCCTGGGTGAAAGGTAGCGGTGTCACCCTCCCTAGGAGCTCTCAGGGACACCGTGCAGGGCAGGGGTGATGGTGGGGAAGGGACGATAAAATCTCACTGCTTTACCAAATGAAAGCAAGGCTTTGGGGAGGGTCCTGGCTTCGGCACACTGGGAGAAGTAGGGGCAAAACAGAGCCCAAAGGATGATTCCAAAGGCTCTGGGCTGGGGGCTGGAGTCTGTGGTCCCACTTGTACTCAGGAGGCAAGGGGGGACGAGGACGAGCAGCTGGCCAATGCCAGACAGGGCAAATACGTGTAGGGAGGGTGACAGCCCCACCCTGGGAAGCTCATCAGCATTGCCCAGATCCTGTCTGGGAGGAAAGAGGGGCCCTGGTGGCAGGCTGCATCGCTCTGCTCCCCCTCCTCATCGCTGGGGACCCGTGAGGCTGGAGTGCTGGGACCCTGGGAGCAGACACAGAGGTGGCTGCGCAGGGCACAGGGGCTGCTCCTCACCTATGCGATCCAGACGGTCCATAGCCACCGTCTCGAAGGCCCTGCGCATCATGGGGTACTCCTCCAGCACCTCATTGAAATTATCCACCGACAGGGAGTAGAGGCGGCAGTAAGTGTCAGCTCGCACGCTGGCCGTCCGCCTGCCCCGTGTCAGCAGGCAGATTTCTGCAGGGAGAGAGATTGAGGTGGCGGGGTGATGCAGCCATCTGTCCCCTCCCCAGAGACCTCCCCAGAGCAGGGACAGGGCTGCCTTGTGCTCCCACAGGAACAGCACGGCTCAGGAGAAGGAGCGAAGCCAGGAGTCTGGACAGCCACAGCCGTGTCCTGGGCCACGCACAACCTGTTCCTCCCTCCCCGGGCCACGGAGACATCCCTGGATGCAGCTCCTGCAGTCACCCGACCCAGTTCTCTCCCAGAACTGTGCTTGTAGCCCATAAACTTGGCCCAGGTGCTCTGCTCTAAACACCTCTGCTCTATGGCCAGAGGCTGGCTGGGCAGATGCCCTCTCTGGCCAAGACAGCCAGAATTCAGGGCTCTCTGACTGCTGGTTCCCCTGATTCACCCTGTGGGACAAGACACCCTGCAAGAACCGGGGATGTGGACTTCTGAGCCCCAGAAACCCGAGGGAGGTGGATGCCCAGCCTTTGGCGCTGGTGCTGAGGGGATGGACAGAGGGTGCAAGCATCACGTATCCCCCAGCAGCTCTCACGTCCCTCTGCTCTCCAAGTCCCTCAGCACAGCCTCACCCCCAAAGTAGGAGCCATCAGACAGCTTTGTCTCCTTGTTGCCCTTGGTGAGGATGCTGACCACCCCGTGCTGGATGAAGTACATCTTTTTGCCCACAGTGCCCTCGCGGATGATGAAGTCTCCAGGCTGGAAGACCTCGAAGCGCAGCTTGGTTAGCATGGCTGTCACGAAGTTGGGGTCCGCGTTGGCGAACAGGGGCATGTTGGCCACCAGGTTGCGGCAGTTGAAGTTGATGATCTCCTGTGGGGTGAGGAGCAGGTCAGTGCTGACCCCAGCCAGCACTGCCCTCCTTCCCCCACGCTGCCAGCACTGGGGTGCCTGCCCCTACCTCCTTGAGTGGCTCACTGAGCTCCCCCAGGATGTTCTCCTCATCAAACATCTTGCCCTGGTAGCGGTGCTCGTAATACTCGTGGATGCGCTGGCGCGTGTCCCCAGGCAGCTTGTGGAATGACATGTACTGCTCCACTTGCTTGTACTGCGGGGACAGGAGAGAGCCACGCTGGGCTGCGCTGAAACGAGCTGCGCCGTGCCAGGGCTGGCAGCACCGCCGGCTCACACCTTCCCTCTCCTTGGCGGTGAGGAGCAGCCGCTGCCAGAGCTGGGACCCCCGTGCGCTCAGGGCAGAGAGGGTCCCACGGCAGAGGCCGGGATGCGGGCCTCACTATACCAGGGTGAACCCCGGCAGGATGACTGGGGTGTCCCTATCCAAACGGGGAGCCTGCTCCCATGACACCCCCACCTCCTGAGCGGGCAGCAAGGGCAGAGAGCAGGGCAGAAGGCTGCCGGGCAGGGAGCCCGCATCGAGCAGGTTTTGGAGCTCGACCCACTTGTGCCGGCATGACTTCCCCCAGGATCCAGGCACTCTCTCCAGCACCCTGCTGACCTTCTCCTGGTACTGGCGCCGGGATGAGTCCAGCGACTGGATGAGCGCGGTGGCGTGGCCGATGAACATGGCGTAGCAGGTGGCTCCCACGATCATGCTCAGCATCGTGAGCCAGACGTCGGTCATACCCTCGGGCGCCTGCTGGCCATAGCCAATGCACAGCATGTGGCTCATGGCCTTGAACAGGGCGTGCGAGTACTGCTTCCCCCAGGAGTCGTTCTGCAGAAGAGGGAACAGCAGCGCTGGGGGGCTCTGTCGGAAGGAGCCACTGGGCAGAACCGCCCAGTTCCCCCTCCCCACAGCCAGCAAAAAGGTATTTGATGTGTCCGCAACCGAAGGGCAGAGCTCTGCCCAGGGAAGAGGATCAGGGACTGGGACTGCCTCTGGGGGAGCAGACAGGAGCCCTGGTGCCCTGTTCCCTCCTGGCAGGGCACAAGGGATTCCCCTGGCTGGTCCAACTCCAGCAGCAGCCAAGTTGGGCTGAGACAAGAAGGGGATGCAGAGATTCCCCCCACACCATCTCACTGCTGCTCCACAGCACACGGATCCACCAGGCAGCTCTGGGGGCTGAGTGTGCCCAGGCGTTTGAGCGTTTGAGATGTGCAAGCACCTCCTCTCCTCCCCCTGGTGGATGCAGCACCAGCATCGCCCCTGCCGGGGGCACTCACCACCATGTGGTTGATGGAGACCCAGCAGTCCTCCGGGAAGTCTTGCAACATTGGCACCAGGAACTGGAGGCACCCATCCCAGTGACACAGCAGCAGCATCATGCCGATGAGGTTGAAGATCCTCACCACAGCACTCGCCAGGTCGTAAGTCATATGGAAGATCTGGGGAAGAGGCAGGAGCGCAGCTACAGAGAAACTGTTTCTTTCCCCAGTACGGTCGCTTCAACTCCCTCCTCCAGCCAGCCGGACCCCACAGCCAGAGATCCCTGACCTGCCCCGAGACCCTGCCCCGGGCCTGGGACCTCCGAGGGACCCTCACCTCCTCCCACTGGTGGATGTAGCGGATGAGGCGTGAGAGGCGCAGCAGGCGCAGCAGGCTGAGGATCTTGGTGAAGCGGACGATGCGCAGGGCCCGCGCTGTCTTGTAGACGTCCGAATCCACCTGGGTCTCGAGGTCAACGATGAGGAAGATGTAGTCAACCGGGATGGAGGAGATGAAGTCAACCAGGAACCAGCTCTTCAGGTACTTCATTTTGATGGTGTGAGGGTCGAGGATGATCTCCGTGTTGTCCTCCACCACGATGCCTGTCCGGAAGTTCAGGACCAGGTCAGCCAGGAAGAAGGTGTCTGAAAGCACGTTGAAAACGATCCAGGGAGGGGTGTTCTCGTCCTTAAAGAAGGTGATGCCCACAGGCAGGATGATCAAATTCCCCACCATCAGGAGCAGCATGATGAGGTCCCAGTAGAACCTGCGGGAAGGCAGCAGGCAGGGAGCAGGAGGAGAGGGGGGACAGCCAGTTAGAAAAGAAACCCCGGACCAAAGCTGGAGTCCAACACGTCACAAAGAGGAGAGCGCAGGGAGGACACGGGCTTTGCTCCCCAGAGCTCCCCATCGTCCGCCAGCTCCCAACCACGGCCCAGGCTGGCTTAGAAGGATTTGGGATAAGCCTTGCTGCTTACACAAACCCAGTGCTGAGCTCCCAGGGCATCCGAGGGACTCGGGGCCAGGGAGGCACTTGGGATGGTAGCGTGGGGCAGCCGGGCAGGAGCGAACAAAGGCCAGACAAGTGCCATCCCCATGGAGAAGGTGGAAGGAACGTGTCTGACCCCAAAAGGGTGCTTGTGAGTGGTGGGCAGGAGCTACACGGTCCTAGACCTGCAGGAGCACCTCATCTGCCTCCTTTCTCTGAGAGGACAAGCTCAGAGGCTCCAGAAGAAAATCCATGAGGTCCCGAGCATCGGCTGATTAGAGTTTGACCGTGCCCTGAAATTCAGCATCCCCAGCCACGCGTAAATGCTGTGTTTGCCTTCTTCATGCAAACGCATGCAATGCTCAGGGGGCTTCCCAGCTCCACGCCCGAAGTTTTTATGGGGTCTGGAAAAGAAAGCCCAGCTCCCGCTTTCGGGTGCCCCGCTCAGTCCCAGCTGAGGCTGGTGCTCTCTGGTGTTCTCTGCCCCCAGGGGCGAGGACACCTCGCCCGTGTTAACGCTGCCTCAGCCACGGCCAGGGCTTGCTTGTGTGGGTGAGGAGGCACCGGCCAGGCAGAACGGGGCTGACCTGGCTGCACAAACGCCTCCCGCACCCCAACTCTGTGCCCTGAATGGGAACACAGCCTGCCCCCCGCCAGCTGCCGGGCGCACTCGATTCAGATTTAGGCTTAAGCTCTTTAGGGCAGGCCCCGTCCTTTACTCCGTGTCACGGCGAGCACACAGGGCCCTGATCTCCGTGACCTTTGAGGATCCCCGTAATGTGATAAACACCGGCGTAATCCAGCCGGCTCGCTGCATGTCACCTTCACAGCGGGGTGAAGCTCCTGCAGAGCTCAGGCTCGCAAACCTGGGGGGCAGCTTCCCCCCCAAAAGGTCCACGAGGGCTTTGCGCCCCTCGGGGTCACTCTGGGGAGGCGCGGGGCGGTCTGCGGGGGGCACCGCAGGCCCTGGAGGCTGTGGAGCTGCCCACAGGTGCCGGGGACCTGCACCAGGTGCCAGCCCCGTTCCGGAGCTCCTCGCCCGGCTGGGGACGTCGGCCGTGTCATGGCTCGCCGTGGGAGATGACTGCCTCGCAGCTTCATCCCCCGTAGAGAAAGCCCACCCTATATGACTCAACATCCCCGTGACACCCAGTTCCTCCCACATCAGCCGGCCCTGCGCTCTTCCCGGCGATCCCGGTGACACGGTGAGGCAGGCCTGGTGCCTCGCAGCGCCCTGCCCTCTCCTCCTCCGGCAGCCCGGGGCTGCGGGGCCGGTGCTCAGGCAGGCTCCGCGGGCACCGTGTGGGGTCGGCACGAGTCCTGCACACGTTTGAGCAATTCAAAGCGGTGTCAAAGGAGGAAAGCTTTGCGTGGGGGCAGAACCAGGCGGCCCCTTCCTCCTCCTCCTCCTTGGCGTGCCCGGAGCTGGGGGCTGCCGGGGAGCTCCTTGCCCGGCGGGGAGCCCCAGGGGGCCGGGGGGATACCGGAGACCGGGAAGGGGCTGAACCGGAGGAAACTTGGTTGAGTTATTGCGGGGCTGGCTCCGGACGTGCCCAGGGTGGGGAAGGGGCCGGGGGGTCGCGGTGCGGCCGGCGGGGTCGGAGCCTCGCCAGCCCCGGTTGCTCGGGGCCGCCTCCGCTGTCCCCCAGAGGGGCCGGGGGAGCACCGCCGGTGCCCCTCACTTGTTGCCCCGCCGGGCGCTGCCGGTGCGGCGGGGCCGGGAGGGAGCCGCGCTCAGCACCAGGGACAGCGGCGGAGGGGCCGGGCACCGAGCACCGGGCACCGAGCACCGGGTACCGGGCACCGAGCACCGGGCACCGAGGCCGGGCCCGTCCGGGGGGAGCGGGGCCCGGGTCCCACCTGAAGTCGCTGTAGGGGTGGATGATCCAGGCGCCGGCCGACTTCACCCGCTGCCGCTCGATCTCCACGGCCCGGTGGCTGCCGAACATGCGCAGCGAGAACTTGTTCACGGCGGGCTGCAGCATGGCCCCGAGCTGCCGCTGCACGAACGTGCCCGCCGCCGCCGCCGCCGCCGCCTCGCCCTCCGCCACGATCTGCTCCGCCGCCGCCGGCGAGGCCGGGGCCGCGCCCGCCGCCCCCCGAGCGGCCGCCGCCGCTTCCCCGTCCGGCACCGGCGGCTTCTCCCGGGGCTCGGGGCTCCGGCCCGGCGCCGCGTCCATGCCGCCGCCGCCGCCGCCGCGCCTCACGTTTCCTTCAAACGCCCTTGCCCGGGCGCCCTGCCCGCCGCCCCGCCGCACATGCCCGGCCCCGGGCGGCCGCTCGCTCGCCGCCCCCGGCCGCTCGCTCACCGGCGCCCGCGGCCCCGGCGGCGCCCGCCTGTTGCGCACGCCCTGGCGCGGGCACCGCGGCCGGGCCCCGCCGCCAGCGGGGAGGCGCCGGCGGCAGCGGAGCAGCGCCGAGCACCGAGGCCCGGGCGGCGGCACCGGAGCGGCGGCGGCGGCAGCGGCGGCGGCGCGGGACCCCGCGGCGGGCGGGGCGGGGCGGGGCGGGCGGGGCTCAGGGGGCGTGGTTTAGAGCGAGGCCCCGCCCCCCGCCCCGCCCCCGCCCCCTCCCTCCCGGTCCCGCCCCGCCTCCTCGGCGCGCGGGCCCGTGCGCGCGCCGCGCCTCGTGACGCAAGCGCGTACGCGTGTGCGTCGTGCGTGCGCGCGGCCTGGCTGAGACCCGGATCGGCGGCGCGGCGCGGCGGGGCGCGGCGGAGGAGGCGGCGGCGGCGGCGGCGAGGACGAGCGGCGGAGGAGCCCGAGAGGAGCCGGAGCGGGGCCCGGGATCCCCGGGGGCCCACGGCCGCCATCACGGACTTCCTGTGGGACAAGCGCACCGGGCTGGCTGCGAGGACGGTGCGGCTCGGGGCGGGGCGGGCGGGGTTAGGCCGCGGCGGCCGCTTCCGTGCTCGGCGGCGGCGGCGCCCCCCGGGCCGCGCTGGACAGGGCCGGGCCGGGCCGAGCAGGGCCTCCCGGAGGCTCCTCGCCAAGGTCGGGGCCGCGCTCCCGAGGCCCGAGCGCTTCCGGGGGGGCGCTCGCGGGGCGGGCCCAGAGCGCCCGAGGAGGCCGCGGCCAGGCCCGGGGGCACCGGGCGGGGGGTCCGAGCCCTCCCCATCCCCTCTTCCCCCCCCTCCCGGCGCGGTCCGTCCCGGTGTCCCGGCCCCGGGCCTCGCTCTGCGGTCGGGTCCCGGCGCTTCCTCTTTCGGCGCCGCGTCCGGTGCGGGCCCCGCCCGGCGGCCGAGCTCGCTGCTGGCGGCCCGGCCCCGCCGCCGATGATCCCCAAACCGGTTCCAGCGCAGCGAAACGCCCCGGTGCGGCCTCCGCCTGCCTGCCAGGAGGGCTGCCCGGCCGCTGGAGGGCTGCCAGCGTCGCCTCCCAGCGCTGCCTTTAATTAAGGGCTGGGAGCGTCTCCCTTGCGCGGCGCTCGCTGGGGGTGTGACGGGCTCGGCGCTCGCCTTGGCCCCAGCGCCGGGTGTCGGTGAGCCACCGCCGGGGAGGGACCGCCAGGGGCTCTGCCGAGCCCGGCCTGGCTGCCGAGGGTGAGATCTGTCGGCGTGCGATGAGTACGTGCCTGTAGCTCGCCACGGCTGTGGGAGTAGCTTTGCCTTCTGGTAGCCCTGCCCCTAACGTCAGCAGAGTTTTGCGGGCAGAAAGGCAGGTAGGCGAGGGTGCGTTCTGAGGGGGGAGGAAAGATCCGCCAGGAGGTTTGTGGGCAGAAATCCAGCTTCTTACCTGCGGAGACAGGGCAGATCTAGCAGCTCAATGCTTGAGAACCAAAATACGCGTTGGGAAAGTCTGATGTTTTTGGAGCGAGGTCTGGGGGTAGGAGCAGGACCCTAAGAACTCGCGCTTCAGAGGTGGAACTGGGTGTATGGTCTTACTGAGGCATTTTCTTCTTCATTCTTGACTCTAACGTCCCACCTACAGGGCAGAGTTGTGAGTATTCCTTGCCTCTGAGGTAAGGCCTACGAGGCTGCCTTAACACATCTGTGCGTGCAGACGGCGTTCCTGCTCCTTGGATCCTGTAGGGGCCTCTGTGCTTGGAGTGAGAGCTGTAGGTGGTGCTGGCTCAGCAGCAGGACAGACGCATTTCTTCAGCAGTTGCCCACTCAGGTGCTGGTGCAAGGATTTGGGCCTGGCATCAGTAACATCCTGAGCTTTGTTTTATTGTCAGTTCTTCTTGGTGGAGAGTCTCTGCTTCCTGGGGAGGGCGTAGGGTCAGGGAGAGAAAGCAGGAGCATTGAAAGCACAAATGCTGCTCCTGGAGCTGTGGCCAGTAAAGGCCATGGATAAGAAGTGAAGGGGGAATCGTAACCTGGAGAACAAAACCACAGCAGGCATGGCCCATGGGAGTGGCTGCATCTTCACTCTTACGAGGTTCTGGGGTTCTTCAGAGGTTTGTCCCCTCCCTCTCAAATCCCCCGTGCGTACTTAGACATGCTGATTGCTTCCCCCTCTTTGTCCTAACGGTTCTTTGGTTACTGACTGTGTGTGCTGGTTTCTCTCCCTTGCCATTGCCTCATAGTCACGGCCTTGTGTTGTTCCTGCAGATGCCTCACTCTAGAAGGTACCGCTCGTCGGAGCGCAGCAGCCGGGGCAGCTACCATGAGCGTTACAGAAGTCGCAAGCACAAGCGACGGCGGACGCGGTCACGGTCGAGCAGCAGCGAGCGTGACCGTCGGCACCGTCGGGAGGACAGCTACCACGTTCGGTCCAGGAGGTGAGTCAGCCCCGTGGAGCTGCTCGGATTTTGGCTGATTCGTATTGCTATCGCTTTGCCAGAGCCACCCTGCGCCTCACCTGTCCCCAGCTGACCCGAGGTGTTTCGGCCTGTCCTGTACTTAGCAGGCTCTCGTGCTCTGAGCTGTCACTTCCTGAACAGTGTTCGTAATCCTATCCCCATGGGTTGCTTCTCCCCCAGCTACGACGACCACTCAGCGGACAGGAGGGCCTACGACCGGCGTTACTGTGATAGCTACCGGCGGAACGATTACAGCCGCGAGCGAGGAGAAGCCTACTATGAACCCGAGTACCGTCATTCCTACGAGTACCGGCGCTCCCGGGACCGCGAGGGCAGCTACCGGAGCTGCAAAAGCAGCCGGCGTAAGCACAGGCGGAGGCGGCGCCGCAGCCGGTCCTTTAGTCGCTCCTCATCGGTGAGTATCCTGCTGTGCTGGGCCTCCCCTGTAACCTTTCTCTCGCAGGTGGCAAGCTGGGTAAGTAGAAAACTCACTTTCTAACACTCTCTCGGACTCAGCTTGAGAAATACCTAGAAAGCCTTTGATGCAGGCAGCGATTCCTTTCCACCGGCCTGGTGCGCCTCAGCAGTGGCTGCCCTGTGCCAGCTGGGCACAGGCAGCTCAGACCCTGCCTTAGCGTTGCCCGCTCAGAGGTGGAAGGCCAGGCGTGCCCCGCAGGGCTGGCATGTCCCCCTGGGGTGGTGCTGTGCTCCACAGCTCCTTTATCCCTACAGAGCGCTGCTTTGGTGTGGTGATGCTCATTAAAGGGCTGTCTAGGAACCCCAGCTGAGCGGTCTTTGTGTGAGGTTTGTACAGAAAGCATTCAGCTGCTCCTGATCCCAGAGAGCTCGGTCTGTCTGCGACAGGTCCCCGTGGCCCCTGCTGATCCCTGATCCGGGCCTGTGTTCTGTGGCAGGAGGCCCCGTCTCTGTGAGCTGGGTCCTGTGTCAGAGCAGGATCCTTTGGGTGGGCGCAGCTGACTTGGGTTGTCACGCCAGGGGCTTTGGCAGGTGAACGTAGCTTGTGGCCTGGTCAGTCCGGGTGGAGGCAGTAACCATCCCAGGCTCTTCCCAGCAGTGTCCCCGGCTTTCTCTTCTTGTCTGTTCTGCTGTTCACCTTCCACTTCTGTTAGACCCCAGACATGTTCTCTGCTCTGTGTGTGGAGCTCTCAGTGTTGTCTGGTCTGTTCTGACTGTGTGTCCAGGGACGGGGTTATGGGCTGGATTCAGGTCCCGAGTCTGCTGTCTGGTTGCTCCCAGGTGTGGGGATGCTTAGCGGAACCAAAGGCAGGAGTTTTCTCTTCTCTGACATAAAATCTCTCATCTGCCTCATCCCAGGCTGTCCCTATTCCCTGTTGGGCCTCTGCTTCTCTCCTGGAAGTTGGCCTTTCCAGGATCAGCTTCTTTGGGGGAGGGTCTAGAAAGAAGTGTCACATCTGCCCCCGGGCAGTTACTTGTAAATTCTCTCTGGTTTTGGATGGATCGTTGTACCAAGAGTTGCTTCTGAAATCTCTGAATTCATCTTAATCTGAGTGTTGGGGCTGGGGGAAGCCACCATGGGAGGTTGTTGGAAGGGGATGGGCAGTGTCTGTGGGGCAGTCTGGCCCTTTGCTTGTGCAGGACTTCCCAGCACCTGCCTCCTGCTGCCTTTCCTCAGTGGCTCATGCGGGGCTGAAGCAAGCCTCTCCCTGCGGTCACTGAGTGCCCGGCTGCAGAGTCGTGCTTTGGCGTGCTCTCTTGGCACTGATCCGGGACCCATAGGCCAGTGCCGTTCCTCTCCAAGCCCCCACAGGAGCAAGAGCAGCTGGTTCCTTCCACTGCCCCTCTGCTAGCCCTCGTTCTGCCCGTCTCTGCTCTCACACTGGTTCGGGTGGGGCTGTTTGTAGGTTCTTTTTTCTTTTTTTTTTTTTTTTTTTTTGCTACAACGAAAAGCAAACTGTTTTTTTCTTTTCTGAGCTAGTGTGTTGTATCTTGACATGTTCCCTTGCAATATCCCTATCGTTATATATTCCTCTGTGCCGTATGAATTGGCTGGGAATCTCCTCCTGCAACCCCTCCTCAAACAACCATGTGAATTTCCAAACCAACCAATGCGTGACGCTGGCTGCTGCGCTGGTTTGAAAATCTGATTGGTGAATGATGAATTCCCTGTCTGCCTGGGCCAGCAGCGGAGTCGACAGAGCAGCAGAAGGGCCAAGAGTGTGGAGGACGACGACGAGGGGCATCTGATCTATCGCGTCGGCGACTGGCTACAAGAAAGATGTACAGCCAAATCGTAACATAATTTAGCTCTCTAGTTAAGCTCCCATCGCAGTCGCAGATCTGTCTTATCTTTCTGTTTCATTTTATTTTCATTGTTTATTAAAGAGAAACCCTCTCCTTTTCCTTCCCCTTTTGTTAAAACTACGTTTATATTTTGTATTGTTACTGAAGTGCCAGGGAACTAGGGCAGTTGCCTTGTGCAGCCGGTGTCAGCCTTCCGCTGCTCCGGTCTCTCAAGCTGTGTGCAGGTTAGGTGTTGCAATGCATTCTCCTCTGCCTTGTGTATG